TTTTTTTTTTTTTTTGCAAAACATAAAAACATAAAGAATTTTTATTGCCAAAATAATTTTTTTGTAACTTTTTTACAAACATACGAGACAAAAGAAAAAAACACAATTCAAAGAGAACGAAAAAGTGTGGTAGTGAAACAGAATAAAATTGTATTTTACTCTTTAATCACATAAATGCTGACGTGATAATTTAATACTACCTCCTATTCTTTTTAAATGTCATTTTGACATTATCAACTATTAACAAAATAAATGTCGTTTTAGATATTTTGTACATATTTTTCCATTATTACCCTCATCTAGCTAATAAATACACTGCGTCTTTTCATATTCACTTTTCATTTTTTCTCAAAACATTCATCTCTATCCTCATTAATGAGAGTTATTATTGACAAAAAAACAATATTCTTAATAATTGTGCAATTTCTTAAAACGACACTTATTATGAATAGGAGGGAGTATGAATTTTTCGTGTGCCTCTGTCTTAATACACGAAAAATTATGAAGTTTTGTTCTGTTCATTTTCGATTGTTGTCCGTGTCTCCGGCCAAATATGAAGCAACAAACTTCACCTGTCTAAATTTAGTTCTTGGCATCTGTGCGGGCATAAAAAGTATTATTTCGGTTTCCCCTCTGTCCCTATACACATGCCATAAATCAAATCGTGCATCCATTTCTTGTCCATATCTCAATTATAGAAACATACACTCGTAATAATTTGCTATACAACACTTTTTAATGCGAGTAAAACGATGACTAATTGGCAGTTAATTATTCAAACGAAAGGGAAATACTACGGTTCCGCTACAGAATCATTCCACCGGGATTTGTAACCTTTAGATAATCATGTAACTGTCGAAGATAATTGATCTAACGGTAACGAAATCGTACCATCTCCCCAGAAGGAATACCACGGTAATTTGCCATCATTCATTTCCACAGTGTCCACTTTCAAATCATATCTCATCTCACAATTCTGATTATTATCCCCCTAATAATACCAAATCCCAACCCAAGAAAATAAAAAACGTAAAAACAAAAGAAAAAAAAAAAAAAACACTCACGATATATTTTCAGACACGATATCCCTCCTCCGTCTGGACATCATCCTTTGGAACCGCCGATGATCCCTCGTACTTTCCCAAGCGCTCAGCCAGCACCGCCCTGTCGACGCTCTCCTCTTTATCCGCCTTGCACACGAAATACGCCACCGTCTGCGCCACCACCCCTAACAGAATCGCCAGCGTCACCACCACCACGCACACCGCACCTAACCCCACCTCCATTGCCACGTGCCTGCTGCCCCCCCACATCACCAAAAACATGAACCCCACATTCACCCCGAGAATCGCCGCGTCCACCACCCCAAGCACATAACACAACTCCAACATCCTCCATTCCGTCAGCCGGTTCCCCTTACCCAAAGCCCCGAACCCCCTATCCTCCAGCACCGACACCACGACCGCCAGCTGGCACGTGACAATCAGCTGCACAACCCCCATAGTGTGCATCACGAGAATGAACATGAAAATGGGGCGGCCCCAGCACACATAGTAAAGGGCTCCAAAGGGGATGTTGTAGGCGGCCAAGGCAAGGACGACGCAGACGAACGCGACGGCCAGACGCGTCAAGACTCGGGGGACGGCGCGCGTGATTTTTTTGAAGGAGAGGTCAAGGGAGGCATAGTGGCAGGCGACGGTGTAGATGACGGCGGAGGTGGAGGGGAGGGAGAAGAGAAGGGTGAGGATGAAGTAGAGGAGGTGGAGGGCGATGTAGGCAGGCAAGCCGAGGTTGTGGAAGAAGTGGATTTTATGGTAGAGGAGGTCGGAGACATGCTTCTGGGCGAGGAAGATGATGGAGAGGGGGAGGATTAGGGTTAGGGTTATCCGGGCAAAGATTTTGCGGAGGTTGAAGATGAGCTTGAAGCTCTCCTTGTAGATGCCGATGACGCCCATGTACTGCATCTCATCCAGCTCTCTCTCCATGGTGGTAGGTGTGGTGTGGGCTGAGTTTTGCTCCATAGTGATAGGTGTGGTTTGGACTGAGTTCTGCTCCATGGTGATAGGTGTGGTGTTGACTGAGTTTTGAGTTTTGTGTGTGTGTGTGTGTGTTTGTTTTGAGTGCGATTATCGATTTGTTTACGTATAATGTCTTTCTTTATATAGTCATGAGGGGAAGGGAATCTATATGTATATAATTACTAGCTCTGGCATTTAAGAAAACCTCATCAATAAAACCTCTAAATTTTTCCCTTCATTTTTTATTACAAAATTTATCATCAATATTTTGTACTTCTCACATTAATACATTCTATGGAGTGTACATGTATTTTTTTTATTATATTATATAATAGTTAATGCTAATACCAACTAATAATAATTCACAATAAAAATCATATTCACATCGGTTAAAACCCATTTTTAAAACCAATGTTGAAACAAGCGACGTTAAATGTCTGTCTTTTCTACATCGGTTTTGAACCGATGTGAAGAAACCTTATTTACATCGGTTTTGCCCAACAATCGACGTTATAAGGGAAAAAATAGGTCTCGGAAAATGAAAAAATCGAACCCTTTTACATCGGTTCGTTTAACAACCGATGTAAAGTAATACATTTAACATCGGTTTTTATAAAAACCGATGCAAAAAAGTTGCATATAGTTATTGATAAAAACCGATGTAAATAAGGCATGTAACATCAGTTATCAGAATACCGATGTCATATTATACGAACTTGAATAAAAGAGAAGTCACCGGAAATTTCACCAGAAAATATCATAAGAGCCATACATGCCTTACTCTAGAGAGAAACTTAAAACATAAGCTAAGGTTCAAAAAAGGAAAAATGATATATGAAAGTTGGATCCCCAAAATACAAAGCATAAAATGTATTTACACTACTAGGCAAAACACACACAAAACGCACACGTTAAATGAAAACACTCGCAGGGTAAGGCGAACTCGCGAGCTAGAAGGAGAGAATTCGCGGGCATTGGCATGGAGAACTTGCGGTTAAGGGTATCAGGTTTCAAACCTCAGAAACTCGCGACGTAGAGCTTGTTCGCGGGCATGGGCTTAGGAACTCGCAGGGTGCTAAGATGCATGGCAGGGGACTCGCGGCTTGCAGCTTCTTCGCGGGATAAGAGAACTCGCGGGTAGCAGATGAAGGAAGCTCGCGGGATACGACACAAAAACTCGCGGGATAGCTGAGATGTATGGCAAGGAACTCGCGGCTTAGGCGCAATTCGCGGGATAGATAGGCATTTCGCAGGCGCGATTTCTCTCATCTGTCCGACTGCCAACTCGCGAATTTGTGCTTGCTCGCAAAATCGTGCTCTCGAGCGCGAACTTTGAGCTGGGCTCTCGGAATTTGTCCCGATGACTATGGTTTGACTTTTAAGCTCCAACTCGTCGCACACTTCTTCGAATACCTCGAAAACTCATTCTCTTAAACGATTTCTTTCCTCCTTCACCGACGGACTTTGAAGATGAAACACTCGGGACGGCAAATCACGAAGCGACAATTCTTTCCTTCCGAACCTACAAAACACCAAATCGCACAAAAGAAATAGAGAAGAATACGAAAACGATTAAAAAACGAAAAGTTAATAAAAATGAACACAAAAATGGACCGGGATGCACAAATGAACCTAAAAACATTCGACTCAAGCAAATAAAAACATAATAAAACACACAAAAACATAACAAACATAACTCTATCAAGATATAGAGAGCGCAAAATATACACATCGTTGTGGTTAATAGTGCCCGACCCACAAGTCAGTCTGAAGAGGAGGAAAAGGATGTTGGTTTAGAGAGATCTGATGAGTCAGATTGAGCTGGACATTTGTTTGCTTTTGGGATGTATTAAAAAAACTATTATCTGTCGTTTACTTTGCAACTTTTAAGCAACATACCAAAGCAATATACCAGACTCAAAGAAGCTGACAATAGCTCTGCACATGCCCTTCTTGATGATAGCCAGAAGTGCTGAAAAAAGAGGACAGATAAACCATCTATCACTAGGAGCTTTATTTGGATTCATGGCAAAGAGGGCTCATTTTATTTCATTTTCCTCCACATTCGCACCAAATCAGAGTTCATAGTTGCAGTGATGGTTGAAGGAATTAATCACTGAATCTCATCACCCTGAGAACCTTAAGATTTGAAAATGTGATCATAAAAGTTCACAACACAGTCTTCAATCTCTTCTTTGGAATCTCTCACTATATTATAGAAGTCCACAAGTCTTGAGATTGCATTTGATTTTCTTCTTTGAATTAGTGTTATGATCACTTTTTTTAAGCCATTGGGTTTTAGCCTTTTGCCTCCAGAATTCTTCTTCTGAGTCGTAAGACTTCTTCATCTCCTGTTTAATCTTCTCCCACTCTTCTCAGTTTTTGTTAGCCTCATTCTTATCTCATCTCTTCCAACTTCAAAGAAAGCCTTGCTTACATTCAGGTTATGAGCTCTGTTCCAACTCAAAGGAGCAAGTCGTGCTATTTTGATTGTTTTGTCTAACCGTGAACATTGGAGTTCATTCTTTAGGTGAAGAACAAGCTTGCTTGACAGTATCCTCTATCCCCTCCGATTGAAGCCATCTCTTGTGAATCAGGAATCTTCTTTTCATTTTATTGGAGTCAGAAGGGTCTACTTCTAGTACTGGTAACCCATGATCAAAGTCACTTCTTAGGATATTTTTAACTTTTGCATTTGGGTGGTTGGTCAACCACTGGAAGGAGCCAAATACCCTATCCCATAGTTCTTTAATGAAGCCCTCTGAGCTCTGTTGTTGCCCCAAGTATAGGGATAACCAAGCATTTTGACTTCAGCTATTCCCATGTTAGCTTTAAAGTTATTGAGGCCCAGATAACTGTTACTAGACCCGAATCTTCCTCTTTGTTTCTCACATTCAACACGAATTTCTTTCGAATCACCACCCCCTAATACCTAGTTCTGGCCTCATTTAGGCTCTTCACCCATAAGATAGTCCCACTTCCTTTCTCTTTCTCTCTTGTCAGTACTAGAATAATAAACTAGAAAAATCCAGAGAGAGTAGCTTCCTCCCCTCCCCCCTCCCACTTAAGTCTTTGAATATTACTTCAAAGCAAAACTGACTGCAACATATCTGAATTATATCCACATCCAAATTTTAATAAAGTAAGAGACCCCCACTTAGGCCAAGGGGTACCACAGACTTCCATCTATTGACCAAGCCTAGCTTCTTGCTCACTGTTTTAGAGAAGTTTTTGTTTTTCCTGGTTTTAGACAAAACTAAAAATTTGGGGTGGTGGGACCTAATGGCCTCCCTCACTAGTTCCCCCTTTTCACAGGTCAATGTAATCGAGCCTAGGCAACGACATATGAGTTAGCGTCTACGGGTAGCTACTGGAAATCCTTTCACAAGCAATTAGTCAACTACCTTCGTTTTGGTTATCTTTAGGGAGGTGACAGGTTCTAAGCAAGCAAGCGAGCATGAAATGGATAGCTAGCAAGTAAGTCAAAGCCAGTGATCTCAACTTTGTCGACCCAACGAACGAAGCGAAGTTCAGTCAAATTAGGCCTCCACGCGGGAAAACTATAGAGGGCCAACCCAGTTCCACATGATAGCCTTCATTGGTCACTATGGGACCAATTGAGAATGGCTACCACCACCTGGTTACCTGAAATTTCTATTTATTGCTCTCTCTTTCACTGGAAATTATTCCAATTAACTTTCTAGCATGCTTGGCCTCTGTTTTAGATCTATCCTGGATGGATATCCATTGACTTGATTCCTCATCAATTTGCCCTCAACTTTGCTTTCACTAGTCTTTCTTATTCAATTAGTGCCATTAATAATTTGTTTTCCTTTCTGCAAATTTCCCTTAGAGTTTGTAATCCCTGCCTTTGCGATATTTGTCACACCTTCCAACTCCATTTATGTATCAACTAAGCTCTATGGAATCATCAACTGAGCTCCTGAGACCTCCTTTGGGGATACACTAGGGTCTTGGATGTTTTCTCAAACTGAACAAGATCAACACCTGGCAATGGTCTTATCTCAACATTCTGGTTGTCAGATAAATTACCTCCAAAGGTGTCCCTTTCTAAGGATGAAGGAATGGTTGTCGCCTTAGATGGTGTTGAACCCGGAGAAGAGTTGGACCACTTTGAGGGACTAATTTGCTGAGAAGTGGCTCTCATTTGCTTTCATCCAATCTCCGTATTGCCCTTCCTTCAGGGAGTGATTTATGATATCGTGCTCTCTCGAACTACAAGATCTGTCAAGATGACCTAACTTCCCACAATAATAAGAAGACTTACTAATTTCTCATAATGGGAGGTTACTCCAATTAACTGATCTTGGAATTTGGTGCTCATTTCTCTTGACAAAGGTTTCATCCAGGTTCACCGTAATAAGCAATTCGATAACTTTGATTACTAGAACATTTTCACCTGCTTGAATATTTTGCCTATTTTGATTCCTACCTCAGCTCTCAGCCACTGAGGGGGGATTCGATTGACTTGTACCCACATGTTTAGTTCCATGAAGCAAAAGTTATCTTCTTTCAAATCGTGGAGAATGAGATATTGATTCTCGAATATCTGCTTTTGCCTGCTACAACCTTCTGTTTATCCGAATTAGGCCATAAGATGTATTGAATAAAATTTGGCCTTACCACTCAGACATCTGGACTGCTTGATATCTGCCCAGCTCGCACACATTGTTCTCTGAAGGCCTAGAATGCTCGCTTTCCTTTTTCCTGACCAACTTCCCAAGCAGACTACTCCAACATTCTTCCATACTGGCTTGAACATCTGTTTCAGCTAATTCTGTTACTCAAGCCTTCGATTTCGATATAGAGGAATTTTTAAGGCGTCTGCATAATTCTTCGTCGAAGGCCTCTGAATTTGATACGCCCGAACCTGAAGCCTCCATTGGAAGTGAAGGGCCCAAGTAACCCCCCAATGAGGAAGAACAACACTCCGCCGGGAAACCTAGAACTCGGAAAAGTTCAGTAACAACAAGAAAATATGTCTCACCCCATGAAAATTCGCTTCTTAGACGAGTGAATAATTACTTTAGGTATAAATTAGTTAAATAGACTTATTAGTTTCTATCCAAACTAAAAGTGCCCTTATTTATTGAACAAGAGGGAAGATAACAAAGTCAATACTCAATAAAGCACAGCCTATGACTTCACAAAGCATCTGGAATCAGGATCAAAGGAGTAGAATCTTCAACCTTTTCCAGAAAGAACCTGACCGGATGGGCTAGGTAGGCTACAAGAAATCTCAATTAAATTAGCCAAGACCATTTCTCAACTTCATTTCTGAACTTATTATATTATATACAATATACAAGGAGATTCTACGGTCTTGTTATGGAATCAATTCATCGGAGTTTGTAACCGTTAGATCAACTATCCACGATGGTTACATAATGATTTAACAGTCACAAATCCCCGTAAAATACGTGCGGTCAACAATCAAGATAAACCACCAGGCATGTCTCGTCTATGTCATGATTGGTTGAAGTTTGTTAGTATTCTTACTTTTTTTCTTCTGACCTTCCTCCATCTTTCCTTTCCATTCTCCAAATTTCCGTGAAGTCCCACCTGAAATCTTGCCACCTATTTTTTTTTTTTTTTTATTTTTTTTTTCCGTTTCAAAACTTGGCCAGAAATCAAGGTTGGATAATAAATAAAATTAAAAAGAGTAGACTTTTTTTAAATTTTCGAAAAAAAATTAATTCATGCCTGAATTATGATGATGTTGGTTTTGAAGTTGTGTGCAGGTGAAGAGTGATCACAGTTGTTCACAGGCACCGGCTATGGGGTCGGACAACAATTATACGGCTAAAGTAATGAGTGGCGATTTTGGTTACACGCTGGAAGATGTGCCTCACTTGTCTGACTACATTCCTCATCTCCCTGTAACTATATATTTCTCTGTTTATTGCTCTGCTTTTGTCCCCTTCATTTCAGAGTTCGTTCACAATATATTGGGAGATACTACGGTCTCGTTATGGAACCATTTCAGTCGAGGTCGAGGTTTGTAACAGTTAGATCAATTATCTATGACGGTTACATGATGATCTAATGGTTGTAACCGGACGTAGCATTTCCCTATCTAATAAAGGAAGTCTTGTTGGTTTAGGAATACCAATGGTATATACCTGGCATTTATACCAGAAAACATTATGTGTTTAATCTTTGAGTTAGATGCAGAATCAATTTACCAAAAAGGGGGGAAAATAAAAATTAAAAGTGGCTATGAATCATATTTTCCACAAAACAGTGGTTACTTTTCACCTCTTCATTTAAAAAAGTGGCCAAGAAACCAAACTAATGTGCTTTTTACTGTTGTGATTTTTTTTTTTTTT